AAAGGGCATAGAATAAAAGCATCTATCAAAAGAAAATACACCATAATCCACAATTTAAACTTTCCACGTTGAAAAAGACAAAAATCAAAGGAAATCTTAAAAGATTTTTAACTCCTCCCTCATATTGTAAATAAAGGTTTCAGATGCTTCACACTTTTTTTACTTTTTATTTTTTAGTGTCTATTCATTTTTAAGAGAGAGACACAAACAGGGGAAGGGCAGAGAGAGAGAGAGAGAGATACAGAATCCAAAGCAGGCTTCAGGCTATGAGCTGTCAGCACAGAGCCTGATGCAGAGCTTGAACCCACTAACCGTGAGATCATGACCTGAGCTAAAGTCAGATGCTTAACTGACTGAGCCACCCAGGCGCCCCTCAGATGCTTCACACTTAATCTAGATGCTACACTCTGATTTTTGTTACTTACACATTCTTACTGAGGTATGAAATACAGTAAAATGGAGACCATCAAAAATTTTTCTAGAAAAATCATACCAGACCAAAATATTAACACAATTAATTTAGATCCTTCCCCTTGACTCCCTTTGCCAATTATAGAACACTTAAGAAATTATTAAAGAATAAAGGAAAACTGAGTTGTAGGGTAGATAACAGTACTACATCACTTAATTTCCTGATTTTCATCACTGCACTGTGGTCACTTAGGTAATGTTTCTGTGGTCAGGTAACATATGTTAAAGCATTTAAGGAACAGCACGGTTACAACCTGTTTTCTGAACTGTTCATAATAATAAATGAATGTATTTATAGAGAGGAAAGAATAAATCAATGTGGTAAAATATTGACATGTGGGGAACCTGGGTGAAAATTACATGGAATTTTTTGCACTTTTCTTGCAATAGCACTTTTCCTTAAGTATTAAATTATATCAAAATAAAAAGTTAAAAAGAAAAAGAAGCTTAACACTTAGAAAGTCAGAGAGCAAAATAACTGCATCAAGTCTCTTCAGTTTCATGATCTTTGCTTTTAGAAGTATTAACAGATAGGGGCGCCTGGGTGGCTCAGTCGGTTGAACATCCAACTTCAGCTCAGGTCATGATCACACTGTCCGTGAGTTCGAGCCCCCCGTCAGGCTCTGTACTGACAGCTCAGAGCCTAGAGCCTGGAGCCTGTTTCAGATTCTTTGTCTCCCTCTCTGCCCCTCCCCATTCATGCGTGCGCTCTCTCTCTCTCTCTCAAAAATAAACATTAAAAAATTTTTTTTTATTAAAAAAAGTATTAACAGATAAAGTGTATCTCCTAAGTATATCTCACTTGGCATGACATGAAATTAATACTGAATTGTATCTACAATCTAAGGCAAAAATGTCACTTTTAAGTCATTTTCTTTTGCCTCAGGTGGAAAAAAAAGGGTAGAGTGGAGTAGACAAGTTAGAAGACATGCATTCGTTTCTTAGCTTTGGATTTTAGAATTCTTTCCAATTAAGAGTCAAATCATGGTTGAATCTTTTTACAAAGTTAAAAAGTTGATATGCTCACCTTTTTTTTTTCCTTTTCATTAAAAAAAATGCATTTAGGTTGGATTACACCTGCTGAATGTATGTGCTAAAATTAGCAAATAATTTTCTTCCCTCTAAAAATCTGTAGAAACGTAGTGCTATGGTCCAGTGGGTCTAATTCACTCACATTTTGGGATAAAGGAAATAAAGAAATCTAAAGACTTCAGTTTATGAATTATTCTATCTTTTACAAAGCTATATCTGATAAAATAGCAGAATAAAATCCAACAAAGATAGCTAAAAAGAATAAGAAAATTCATGAATTATCCTTTTCACATAAAATTAATCTTTGTATTCATATGATGATCTACCTAGATTAAGACATTAGAAGTTATGATACATCAATTTAAAAAGTAGGGGAGCCGGGGCGCCTGGGTGGCGCAGTCGGTTAAGCATCCGGCTTCAGCCAGGTCACGATCTCGCGGTCTGTGAGTTCGAGCCCTGCGTCAGGCTCTGGGCTGATGGCTCGGAGCCTGGAGCCTGTTTCAGATTCTGTGTCTCCCTCTCTCTCTGCCCCTCCCCCGTTCATGCTCTCTCTCTGTCCCAAAAAAAATAAATAAAAACGTTGGAAAAAAAAAAAAATTTAAAAAGTAGGGGAGCCTAGTTGGTTAAGTGTCTGACTTTGGCTCAGGTCATGATCTCACAGTTCGTGAGTTCGAGCCCCGCACTGGTGTCTGTGCTGACAACTCAGAGCCTGGAGTCTGTTTCAGATTCTGTGTCTCCCTCCCTCTCTGCCCCTCTCCAGCTCACACTGTCTCTCTCTTTCAAAAATCAATAAACATTAAAAAAATAAATAAAAAGGAGTTTTTTTTCCCCATTAAGTTTTATCTTCATATCAGGGATTCAGAGCCAATATGCTCACATTGAACTCTACATTCAAGAACAAAAAGATTTAATTTAAATTCACAGAAAAGTGCAAAAACAAACACATTATCTCCTAATTCGTTACTAAGACATTTTGCTGGAAGCCTCACCTTTTTATCTTTCTCTTTATATAGGTAACTTGACATTTATAAAAACATTAAAAATGAGAAATAATCTGAAGGTCTAACTAATGGATGCCAGGTTAAATCTACAAAATACAATACTATGGAACCACTAAAATTGTATTTCATTCACAGGACTGTGAAGCATTAAGAAAAAATGACTTAAAAACAATTTAATGATATTCTTGTTGAAAAATGAAAAAAAAAGATACTTAGAAAAACATGGAAAGATAGATTGCTAAATATTAATCTCTAGGTAATAAGTTTGCGGGTGTTTTTCATTTTTTCTTTTTATTTCTATATATTATACTTCTTATACTGTCTGAATAACAATCATGTATTATTTTTATGGTTATATAAACAAAGTTAGTTCCTTTTTTGAAAAAAACAACATAAAATCAAAATTAAAAGGACCTGGCTAAATAATACAGCACATCTCTAGATAATGAAACAGTATTGAGACATGAGAGCCTCAGGCATGATGGCTCTGTGGGCCCCAGCTCCTGATTTAATCACAGCAACCCCCTTTTGTCTACTTCACATAGTTCTCCAATCTTATATTTGACAACAGGGTACTTTTTTTTGGTTAAAAAACAAATGAAAACATGCTATACAGCAAGAACATTTATTGACATGAAATGATATCTTCTATGAAGTGTCAACTACATAGACAAATAACAAAACTGTTCATAATATATCCTAGTTTTAAAAGTTAATTAAATTAAAATTTTATGGGGGTTCTGAATTTTAGTTTCAGTTCATTTGTTTCTAATACTTCTTAAATAAGTAAATATATTTTAAAAACATAAAACCATTTTTTAGAAACAGTTAAAGCCTACAACTAAAAGAGACCTTAAATTAACTTCTATCTTCTTTCTAAACCTGAAAAAGGTATAGATCTAATGACAGCAGGGAAAAAAAATGTATTTATTTTAAATTTTTTTTTTTCAACGTTTATTTATTTTTGGGACAGAGAGAGACAGAGCAGGAACGGGGGAGGGGCAGAGAGAGAGGGAGACACAGAATCGGAAACAGGCTCCAGGCTCTGAGCCATCAGCCCAGAGCCCGATGCGGGGCTCGAACTCACGGACCGTGAGATCGTGACCTGGCTGAAGTCGGACGCTTAACCGACTGCGCCACCCAGGCGCCCCAAAAATGTATTTATTTTAAATTAAAGCAACATTATCTAACATTTTGGAAAGAAACCTTCAGCAGATGAGTCAGTTCATGAATAACATACATTAAATAAGTAATCTAATATTAAACTACTTCATTTCATTAAAAAAAAGACCTAAATCCCAAAATTCTAATGTCATGGTGTCTGTATTACAATAGTCGTCATGCGAAAAGTATTTCATACTACACATGCATAAATTATATAGGCAAGTGATGTTAGAGCTGAACACAGCCCCTGCCCAGCACTAAATTATTTAAATACAAAAAGTTCACTGAATAATCTGAAACTTCTTATAGAACAGTTTTCATTCACATGCATAACAAATTAGCATAATGTTATAAAAGAAAATTGTGTAACAGATAAAGTCCCCAAAACACATTTATTAGCTTCCACAATAAATTAAACCATTTAAAAGAGTTTTAACTGAAAAAAACTTATACCCATTTCCACTACACTCGCTTTTTTATAAACTAATCTATCTGTTTCACAGAAAGGAATATGACAGAATGCCTATATGGTTTTAGTCTTTGCTATTCACTTTGTCCTTGACATAGTGAAAAAAGTTTTCCCAAAATAAGTTTCAAGTGTCTTCATTTAATACTCAAAGGTCTGAAGATGTCGTTCATGTGGCTGTTCTTAAAGTTTGATTCACAAAATGGAAATGAACGATTTCTTTGAGAGGTGCTGTAGCTAAATTTATACGTTTACAGTACAGTGGTTGGACACAATACAGTGAAAAATACTATGAGGTACCAAATGTTCCTCACTCACTGACCAAACAAACCTTTCTTGTGGCCTTCTGCTACAGAAGTCAAGAAAATATTACCCAAGAGAGATTTTTCTGCTGCGTCCTGGTTTGCTGTTGGATTAAGGCCAGAAAGCAGTAACAATGGAAAGGTCTTTTGAATTTACTAAATTTAAGGATTCCCAAACTAAAAGATGTAACCTAGATACGAGCTGATTACAGCTGTAACATCCTACTTAAAAAAATAAGGAAATTTATACTTTCTCCCTTCTGAACAAATTTTTATTACTTTTAATTCCAAGGCCAATACTCCTTACAATTTGGTAAACTTTTTAAAGATTAAAAAAACAAAAACAAAAAACCCTTCCTTGAAATCTTTCCTTCATCCTCAATAACATATTTTAAATGATTTTGCATTTAATAACACATCCTAAATTATATTCAAATAAATTTTAATTATACAACAAAATTTAAAGTTAGTTGCCCAGTACACAAAAACAAAAAAAAAAAACACAGAGTTGAAGAATTTTTTTTCTCAAAGATCGGTATACAAAAATTATAATAGAATCTGCACTTACTCTTCACCCCTTTCTTCCCCTTTCGTTCCTTCTTGTACTGTTCCTTCAGTTTACTTATTAGCCCCTGGTCTACATCCCAAACCTCAGTAGGTGGGGAGAGGTCATCTTTATCTACATGCAGCATATTATTAAAAGAAAAAAAATCAGCAGTTGGCAATGCAAGCTGTTGGCAGTTAACTGTTATAGCTTTACATAATCATAATAAAAATGTACTAACAGCATATACCCAAAATACTTTAAAGGTGCAGTTTCAGTTTTGGTATTCACAGCTCAAACTCTAAAAGCCCATCTCACAAGTTTCTATACAGTTAATACTAACAGTTAAATGGTGCTTCATTTCTATGAATCACAAATTTGAAGGTTATTATTCTTTCAATGACTAATATTCAACGGACTTATATTAGAAAACTAACATTATACAAAATAGATCACTGCATCTTTATAAAAATGTTAATAAAAATTATTCAGCCAGCATCATAAAAGCAAATGAATGAATTACATGCGAACTATTCATAAGAGTGCAAGCTGGAAAGGTCAGTGCCATTTTATTGATGAAAATACTCATGCACCTTCTGTCACACTGATTCTGCATGCACGGGATAACTATACTAATGGAGAGGCATTCTAGTCCAATATAATACATACATATAGTTCCAAAATACAATGTCTCAAATAATACATACAAAGCATTCAGAGAAGCCCACCTTGGCCCCCACCCCACCCAAATAGTTCCACATCTCATTACCTTCTTCCATTGGTCTACAACTAAGATTAGCAAAAAAAAACAAAAAAACAAAACTCAAATTCCACTGAAGAATTTTTTTAGGGCTGATTTTTTTTTAGGGTAAGATAAAAGCAGTGACAAGCATGGAAAAGTGAAAACATACATAGCTGTACATCTGCTAAAGATGAAACTTCAGCTATTTTAGCTGAATCACAAATCTGTATTTATTTTAAGTAGATACTTGTGCCTGCAAAAATTTTACTCTATGGTAATCTAGAAGAAAAACAGCATTAAAAAGAAGCAGAATAAACGTAAGTCTATTAGAATTCCTTTTAAGTATTATGGGCTTTTCCTTCATGTGTTTAGTTCTAAAACAGCCACGTTATTAGGAAGTTTAACTCTCTGTAAAAGAGTAACAACCAGGAATTTATATAAGCATGTCACTAAATAAAAATTATACCAAAACATATAGGCTAAGTCAATCAAGACTGACAAAATAGTAAGATTTTAGGGAAAAAACACTTGTTACATTTTTGGTAACTCATTATTTTAGCTCACAAGTCTTATAAACTGCCTGGGCCTCACTGACTTAATCCATATTCAGTGGACATTAAATAGCCTTTTTCCTCCCCTTTTATAGATTGCTATATCTAGTAAGTAAAAGAAACTCTATTTGAATGACACATACAAATTCAATTACTTACTGTACCTTGGGCCTTTCCTACTATAATTATTATCACTTTCTCCCTTATGGATATACCTATAATCTTAGGTCGTCAGTATATAAAAAGATTAATCCAAAACTTTAAGTTAATTTGCCAACTTGAATTACTTAAAAGTAGGTTGCTCGAGACTGAAATTTACACGTAAGATTATTTGTCAAATCTGCAAATTTTAATACTGTTTGTAATAATGTAGTAATAATGATTTAAATAGAAAATTCACTTTTCGTGTACTCTAATCATGAAGTTTACAGAAAACTGTGTTGTATGAGAAATCCTTCTGTGCACTTACTGAAGACTCCAAAAAAAAAAAAAAGTGATGTGAAGAATTAATCATTTGCACTCATCTTAATGAAGCAATTAATTACTTTTAAAAATGACCACTTAAAGTAAGCCAAATGGACACATTTTAAACCTACAGAAGCAAACAAAAAAAATCTTAAGTGGTAAGTAATTCCACAGGATCTAAAATTTTAGTAAGATAGCCAGTTTTTCAAAGACCTCTGTAGAAAAAATAAAGCTGTGAGTAACTGTAATTAAAGTAGCAAAGGGTACTGGAGTAAAAAAGCAAAAGAAAATAAACGGGTAAGCCTAAGGAAAAAAACAAGTATTACTTGCAAGATAACCTAAAGTCTAGAAAACAAAGGTTAACTTAAGGCAGTGCAACGAACAGGTTGGTGAATGCATATGTGCTCAGAAAACATCCTGAAACTTGCCTGGTAAGTAACAGCTGATTTGATATTGCTTTTAAGAAATAGTTAAGAGCAAAAAGGAAGAGGCAGCATAATCTTCTACATATTAATTCTGTTTTTTAAAAATCTAGGGGGGAAAAATACCAAGAAATGAGGTTGAATCAGTTACGGGAACTTTTTTGTTTAAAAGGAAACACAAATATGCACACACACAAAAATGACCCATAACAACTCAAAACCACAAAAACATAAAATTCTTCTATGGTAATGCTAACTATCAAAGCAGAGGAATTATATAAATCTACTTAATGTAACATAAAAATATAACCAACTTTATGCATATATTCAATACTTTAATTATCTATTATATTTAAATATAAACATTCAGATACTAATTATTTTTTTTTAGTCTATACATTTCCACAAATCACAGTTTCAGGTTGGAGGAAAAAAAAAACAAACATGCTCAAAATGCCGAGTCTCCATGAGAGAAACAGCAAATTTAGAAAGCCCACTAACATTTTTGATTAGCAGAAAAACTAAAAACTACCAAAATTAAACTCAGACTACAAATGTAGGTAAGAGAAAAAAACAGGATTTAAAAGCTCTCTTAAAAGCAGCAGTTTTACATGATAAAAGGTTTCAAAATTTGATATATCTGAGCAGATTTCTGACATACAAAATAACATATTACCCACTGTGGGTATGTACTGGGTTATGTTTCATTAGGATACATATTAAAAACAAACCAAAAAAATACTAAAAAATTGCCTTTACCCAATAATTTAAATCTCAAAACCACCACCTTCCCATTTAAGTAAATTCAAATTTAAGCAAATGAGTTAAATAAACGTTATGTCTGTATATCCATCCTCTTTGTTTTAGAAAAACTGAATATAAAACCTGTTGAGTAGAAAAGATAAATTCAGAAACACTGCAAAGATCCTTTGACAGTTTTCATTTGTTAAGGAAAGAAATTGCTTAAACCATTTTGTTCTTTTCCTTCTAAAGAACTTAAAATGCTTTAAAGATGTTTCAGTCTCATCTGGAAGGAAGAAACTTTCAGTTACTTCCATTTACACAGAGATTCAGGTAACTCAAATATTAATAGTAAAAGTAAATAACATTTTATAGTTATCATTCACTATTTAGGCCTGCTCCTCAAACTGCAAAAGTCTTTGGAAAGAAGGACCATCAACTGTAAACAATATGGTACTTCATTATTAAAGAAATAATGCCATTTTATACAAATTAAATTCCCCAAATTTTTGTATGTTTTTGACTAATAAACTTCCAGCAATTTTAGGTGAAGAAAGCAGGAATGATGATGTGCCAAGATTTAGCTACACAGATCTTCGAAAACTGATTGTTATCTTTAATGAAAATAATCTAAATATTCCTCAGTAAAACCCCAATTAAATAATGGAAGATATTGATAAAATATTATGAAGCTATTAAAACTGCTGTTGCAGAAGAACAATTTATTAAGTGAAAAGTGTGGGTTATAAATCAGCACTCAGCAAAATCCTTTGTTAAATAAAGATAAATATACATATATAAATGTTAACCATGATTCTCTCTACATAGTGGCATTATAGGTAATTTTTAATTTCTTCTTCATGTGTCTGTGGGTTCTAAACCTGAAATATACATGTTATAAAATAATTATATATATATAATTTAAATGTATTTATATAATTATAAAATAACCTGCGAAAAAACCCCAGTACTTTAGAAACTACTAGAAAAAAAAAAAAAAAATAGGTATCTCCAACACTTGAATGGGTTTCACAAAGAAGCTTAACAAAAACTTTAATACTTTTACCATGTCTCCTGAGCAAGGCTAATTCTTAAGAAAAGTAAACTAGAATATAGCCATTTTCAAGTAAGTACAGAAATGTATAATCAAAGACTATAAAGTAATTCTGAAGTTTTTTTCTTATTTTCAACTAATGTGCCTCTTCTCTTTCCACTTAGAAGAAGAGGTAAGTGAAGGTCTGAAACAATGCTTGAGAATTATAAACAGTAAGAAAGCTGGCAACAAAATCCAGATTTTTAAGCACTTCAAATTGTTATCTGGATAGTTAACAATTATCTTACCTATGAAATTTTATTTCTTCTATTAGCAATATTGGTTCAATATATAAATACAACATTTTTAATAACGTGTTTCCCATCACCAAAGTAGTTTTTAAGTATTTAGTGCTAATTCCTCCTGCAAATAGCTAAGCAACTTTGGTGTTTGACTGAAATATGCGTTAAATGTACACAGTAACCTTTTCCGATACAGCTCTGTAAACACAATGTGTGTTCTACCTGCCAGATAACATGCTTGTATTAAAAGCTGATTAAATGAACATATTGGACCTCAGGTTATTATCTTAATATAATTTTGACACTTTTATTCTACTTTCTAATGAGGTTTTCAACCCTGTATAAATAGAAAACTTTTCTTTCAGTTATGGCTGAATTATTATTAGCATTACATATCATTCCCAAAGGCTAGGCCCTAATATGTGCATACTAAATATTGTATGTAATACAGTTTAATACCTTCACTAAGCCTTGTTCAACATAAAGCTATAATTAAGGATTAGTAGCTTTATTACTTTCTAGTAATAAGTCAGATAATATTATATAGGCATAACAAAAAGAGTTAAGTCTTCTTTAAACCTAGATACATTGCCAAATTAAATAGTGGGAATGTTTAAAAGTATATACATGCATGTTTTTTTTTAATCTGCTAAAAAGAAAGGAACTGAATTTATTTCACCTTTAAATCAATAAGCTTCAAAAATCAAAATTTACCAAAAAGTATATATTAAACATAATTTTGTCACCAAACCTAAATAAATTTGTGCAGAACACCCTGAAATTATTCACTACCACTTCTCCTTGCTCTTGCTTAACCGCTACCATACATTCAAATACTCACATTCCACGTATAATATTTAATAGCAATATATCTTTAAGGGCTAGATATTATCCCACCCCCATATTTTTTTTTATCAACTTACCCCATTCTGTGCCATCCCCTGAACTCCGTGCTTCTCCAGCTCCTTCACCATCTTCAGCAGTCACTAAAAAATCAAATTCTTTCAGTGCTTCCTCAGTATCAGGATCATCAGTTAGGTCAGCAGCTAAACCTTCATTACCTATCTGTAAATGGAACATAAGCCAAAAATTATTTTTATCCTAGATTTTAAAGGGGTCCTTTATATGTTTTTAACACCATTAACTTTATTTTTTTAATATAATTTATTGTCAAATTGGCTAACATACAGTATGTACAGTGTGCTCTTGGTTTTGGGGGTAGATTTCCGTGATTCATCGCTTCCATACAACACCCAGTGCTCATTCCAACAAGTGCCCTCCTCAATGCCCATCACCCATTCCCCTCCCCACCCATCAACCCTCAGTTTGTTCTCTGTATTTAAAAGTCTCTTATGGTTTGCCTCCCTCCCTCCCTGTTTGTAACTACTTTTCCCCCTTTCCTTCCCCCCCATGGTCTTGTTAAGTTTCTCAAATTCCACATATGAATAACACCATTAACTTTATATTTATACTCCCATTTTTAAATTACTTAAATACACAAAATTTTAGTTTTTGCATGTAGTTCACCAATCACAGATTGTACCCTATATAAATGGTTAACAGCACCATGTGAAGACTACTGTTAAGATGTGATGCAAGTAATGTGGTAGTACAAAATCGTTAAAATACTAAGCAAGAATATTTAAGTTCTTTAATTATAAGATTCACAATTACCCATTTATAGACCCATGCAATCACTTATATTCTGATACACTGTGTTGAACTGATTTCACTCACTGAGAAGTGCCTACGGATTCTATTATTCACAGGGATATGGCATAGCTAAGAAGGATATTAACTGATCTTAGGTCAATAGCTGTGATAATAACAGTGCTATGCATCCCAGCGGGAAAAAAAACTAACAAAACGAAAAAAGGGAAAGGATCAAAATCTCTATTCACCCGTGTTACACACATGAAATGTGACAGAAACACTGAGAACTGCAATTACAGCATGGCAACTTTTTTTGAGGAAAGCTGGCATTTTCCCCACATTACTTAATATCCCAAGGAACCAAAACTTAACCTATCCACTTTTTTTTTTTTTTTAAACATACTTGAAGTATTCTCGGGGTGACTGGGTGGCTCAGTCAATTAAGTGTCTGACTCTTGACTTAGGCTCAGGTCTCACAGTTCAGATAGAGCCCTGTGCTGGGCTCTCTAAGTGTGAAGCCTGCTTGGGATTCTCTCTCTCTCCCTCTGCCCCTTCCCTGCTCATGCTCTCTCCCTCTCTCAAAAATAAATAAGCATTAAAAAAAATATATACTACTATGATAATTCAAAAATGGATCGTCTAATTTGCTTATATTTATAGTTAAACCACATCACTGATCAAATAGATAATCCAGTTTCCTAGGTTACGAGCAAAAGTAAATTTTTATTAATCCTTACCAAAAAACAAGAATGTGAACACACATATTTACAATCCATAGTTTACTCCCTCATCCAGAGTGGGAGTATCCCCACTGTAACTTGAGTTAATTTATCATGTGTTTTACTGCACATGAAGAGTCAGACTTCAGCAGTGACTGTTAACTGTAGCAGCAGTGGAGAGAGGGTTCCTGGTTATTTTTTTTTAAGTTTCAAACCACCAACTAGTTCTATAAAAACAGACCCTTTATGGCTAGTTAGTGAATGATACACCAAATAATGTATTTTTTTTTTCCAAGGGGAGCAACATGTTCTTTTATTGATGCAAGTACGTCCAGT